GGGGCCACGATCCTCGTGAGGGGTGTGCCGAAATCGCCCCGGGCCGCCATGCGAACCATGACACTGGGGGCCTTCGGTGGAGCTTCTTATGGGGACACGAAGCGTTGTATTGGGTGGGTGAAGCGCCGACGGGGAGGGAGGAGGATAGGTGGAGGAGGAAAGCGGGGCACCGTCTCTTCAAAACGAGGACAACAACACAGGATCGTTGGGAAACCTTGAAAACTAGTTGGGGGACGACGGTTCGAGTATTTTTGATTATGTTTGTACCGTGTTGTGGCTATTCATAACGTTTCGATTGCAATCCGCTTGTAGGAGGACATGCCCGACATCATGTGCGTCGTGTATATATATATATATATATATATATATATATATATATATATATATATATTCGGCGCCCAGTGGTGCAGAATGCGCCCGCCGCCAAAGTTTGGCGCAGACATCTAGACGAAGCGTCTCTGCCGTGTTCGCCCATGGAGGCTCGGCGCTGCCGTTTTCCACGTTTCGCAGAACCCCCCGCAGAATTCAAGACTCTGCGATCGCGGACGTGGCCGAATCAAAACTGGACGTGGTCTGGTGCTAAGAGGGCTCCCGTTGAAATTTTCAGTGGCAAGGCTAAGGGAGAGATGACGAGGGAAACGAACGAGGAGGGGAGAGCGGAGGAGGAGGGAGGAGGGTTGTTGTTGTTGATGATGATGATGATGAAGCTGAAAATGGTCAGGATGATGTTTATGACGATTATGATATTGATGATGATGCTGACGCGGGTGTGGATGATGATGACGATGCGGATGTGGACGCTGAGGATGATAATGGTGATGCTGATGATGAGTAGGAGGAGGACGAGGAGGAGGAAGAGGAGGAGGAGGAGGATGAACATGAGGAGATCGATAGCATGTGAAGTAGAGCAGGAATATGAGGAGGAAAAGGAGGAGGAGGAGGAGGAGGAGGAGGAGGAGGAGGAGGAACAGGAGCAGGGGGAGGACCAGACTAAACCCAGGATGCATCAACGACGCAACGCTGCAGGACACCTTCTAGTCGTTGATATCATTCCCGTTGCTTGCACGCAGCTGGCACTCCTGGTCGCCACGGGAAGAGCCACCTTGTAAGACGAGTGCCCACTGGGCCTGCGATTCAGGCGAGAGCCTTGTCATCAAAAAGGAACCGGGCGTCCTCTCTGAGATAAGAATAGAGGGATGCCGTGAGGCATCTCCAAAAGTCCAAAAACTCCAGATTTCGTAATAAAAGGGAGGGGGTCTGGACCCTCCAAGACAAGCCATTTCAGACCTCCCCCGTGGGAGAACCCTCCAAAACATCGTCCCCAGACCCCCCCAGGCCCTCCAAGATAGCCTGGAAGAGACCCCCCCCCGAAATGAGACCCCCCTCCTTTTATGACGAAATCTGGAATACATTCCCAAGGAGAACCGCCCCTTGAATGGAAGCCGCAATGCACAGATGGTTGCACACCTGATGTGCCTGGTCACAGCAGTTTTGTCGACATCTCAGACGACAGTTTGTCTCTGGAACTGAGCCTCCGTCGCTCGTGTGACCTATGTGCTGGTTCCAACGTCGAGTTCGAAGGTGTGAGACTGATGAGTAGTGCATGTAATGCAGTAAGGAACAAAGGAGCCGGCCGATGGCATTGCTATCGTGGCCATTTGGGCTCTAGGTTCGATTTCACGTGATTTTCACGGTCTTCCGATACCGAATCCTCTTGTCTTGTATTTTGCAATTCCTTCACGTTTCATTTGCATCCCTTGCCGGTTCCTTCAAACAGGTTTGGGGGCACATGGCTTGGTTTGAGCAGGAACCTTCTGCGGGGGTGCAGCCTGCGGCCCCCGCCACGCCGGCCCCCAAGGCACGTGCTCGGGCCGCCCCAGGCTTAAACCAGAGCCTCAGGGTCGCCGCCGTGGCATCCACCTCGGGGGCAGACGAGATTGTGCTAGAGTCGTACGTCGAGCACTTGGGGGGGTCATACGACACAATTTCGTCGTCGACTTGCTGGACGTGCGCGTCACCGACCTCAAGTCCGCGTTGGACGCGTGCGAGGTGTCTGGTGCGCCGCTCACGGCATTGCAGAAGGGGGCGCTTGCGCGTTTCCTGTGTCGCGTGGCGGATGTTGCCGGCGTGCCGCCGCCCGATTTCGGCACCCTCGGCGGGCCGCCTGCGGGCATTAGTGCACCGACCGCAGGTGGTGGACATAGCGGGGGTGGCGGCGGCGGCGGAGGAGGTGGCGGCGGCGGCGGCGGCGGCCCTGCCCCTTCCGCAGCGCCTTCTGGGAGGCCATCTCGAAAACGTAAGTTTTCGGCCTTCATCGACCAAGCGGACGAGGGCGAGTTCGAGCTGCTCCCAGAGCAGACCTTGCGTTCATTTTTGGACGAGTACGAGAAGGCGCACGGGGGGCCTCCCCGTGAGCACGAGGAGGCCACGAATGACCAGATATCCGCCCTTGCCGCCCGGCTCGCGGATGACGTCGCCCCCTACGCGGACATGGCGGTGT